TTGTAAAGCAATCAAATAGATAACAGTTAAGTCCATTTAGGCCTTTAGAAGTCGTTCAGCTTCCGGATCTGACACCGTTTTATGACATGGGCGTAACAGTAGGCATCTATTGTATCTTATTGGTGGGAGGCGCAAATGCCTCCAACCTTATAATCAGGCTGAATTTTCTCTCAGGTGAAATTTCCCTCTATATATGTATATACTTGGAATATTCAAAATAACTTTCAGCCAATGATATTTTTATTTTTTTTTTTTCACTTTATTTCTTTTTTACCCATTGGTACAGTTTTATCATTCATACTCAACATTATTTCAAATACACAGCACAATAAGTAACAAGCATAAGTGAGATCGAGTAGGTTATGTAAATAAGCCAATGATATTTAGTATCTTTGTATTTTGGCAATTCCAAATGACCAATGAACAGAGATTTAGCAAATTAGGAGCCACGTGCTCATGTGGGTAATCCGAAATAATTGTCCCGCTTTATTGCGGAAATTGAGTTTTCTATAAATCTCTAATTTAACACATTTTGTGTTTTTACTGATCAAAACGTTAATAAACTGATACAGTTTCAATTCAAAACAATTTTACACGCACACTTGTACTAGTTCAGTGATTAATTTCGAATTGCAGAATCCGAAATCCATTCCATTTTAGTCGACCCATTAGGTTTTTGTAGATGCATAGCGGCCACATACATGCGTTACATAGCGCTCACGTGTGTTACTTTAGGGAGGGAATTCCTGGCTCGTCACAGGTCACGATATTCAAACTGACGCCTCTGGATATTCAGATAACGAAGATGAGGCGCACTTGTAGGTATAAGTACAAAGACGTCATTCATATAAGTTTTTCGTGCGCAATAATCGTAACAGGTGCCCGAAAGTGCAACAAAGGTTTTCCTCGATTGCGGCCTATAGACGAGCTTCATAGCGTTCGTGTATGTGAGTGCCTCGTATCTCAACTAAAACATGGGTAAACATGACAAAGACCTTTGATATAAAATGTCATATACTGGAGATGAGAGTACCGTATTTGCGATGCGAGTACCGATCTCTAATGGAAGCAAGACTCTAATAGACGGAGGTATGGTCATCCTGATACTCTTGAAATCAGTGTTTGCCCTTAACCCTGAAAAGCTGCAGACCCTAAGGACCCAGAACCATAAAAGGTTCTGGGCCAGGATCAGAATGTGTGGGCCCTATATTTTAACATGGAAATAATACTCTTAGTTATTGGGGATTAAAAAGCTGTCGGCCATAAGGAGTTGTAGAAAACAAAAGTTGTGGGTCGGCTTCGGGCTTAAGGACCGACGTTAATTTCGAACGCAGCTTGAAATCAGCTTCACCCCAAAAATGATCTCAGGTCCGTCTCACTAATTTTCTTAATTTACTCACGTGCCTCCAACGTTGCCTTTCAAAAGGCTTTTCTTGTTCGTTTTGTGAACACAATGCAACAACCAGGCGAGCAAGGTTCTGGACCGCGGCTCTATTAAAAGGGGTTGTTTGCACCCTTGGTTGCACGAACTTCAGTGTTAGGAATTCGGGATGTCAACATTACCCATCTACCAAGACCAACCAACGTCCCTTACACCTTACCAAACAATTCACCCACACATACCAGTCCATGACTGTCTAACAATCAGCGGAATCCCATCAGGTCGTTGCCTCTTTTGTTAAGACTCGTTGTTGGCTATCAGTATCACAGAACAGACCCCATAAACATGTTTTGTAGTCAAATCGTCCTTGCGTGTGGCAGCTGATTCATCAAAAGTCTATACAACACCAACGTGTATAAAAATAAAATTGAAAATTTAGACACGTGCGTTCACCATGAGGCATTGCCACGCTAAAACTGCAAATAATTATTTCAGTTTGACTAGGTTCCGTCTGACTCCATGCCTCTGGCAGAGCCCATGGCCCACCAGCCCTCAGTGAGAGAGAGAGAGATTCTTTATTTCCTCCAGAAATCAATCCGAAGATTATTGATACATGCAGTCAATCAAACATACAATACAATAGTATTTACAAACAGGACAATGTTATTCATAGTTGACAATTGATATGTACAGAAACATTTACAAAGGGATGGCGTCACTTCTGACTCCATTAAAATACAAACTCAAGATATTGTTTCAAATGATAGACATAGTTTGCAAAGTTTATAATGACAGCATGGTATGTGTCCCGCACTAGGGATCGTGTGAACTGTGTAGCTGCACCTTGGAGAGTTGACAGCATTTCCTCGTCTTCCAACATTTCAAAATTTACATAGGTTTCAACATCAAGTAGATCAATCAGAGATGAGAAAAAGTTATTTCGGAGACCTAATAATTTTTCACAGTGTAGTATCACATGGTTGTCATAGTCATAAGCGTGCTTGTTACAAAGCAAACATTCTTTTGAGATTTTATTTCGTGATGAAAGTTTCAAACATAATTGCAAGGCTGCTCTGTGTTCAGGGTATAAAATGCTAAGTTCAAAAGTATGTGATAGTCAGTGATGTATGACCTCGCATGTAACGAGACAGTCCTGCATTAAGTGATACTTTGTTACGCCAGATGTGTTCTTCATATTCTTGTACGTGTCTGTTTGTAATTCGTCTCCACTGGTGTTTGGGGAAATGAACCACTGTATAAGTACGTATGTAAGTAGTTTATAAGGTTGTATTTGCACAAAACAGACTGAAGATCTCCACAAATAGTTGATTTTCGGGGTGTATTAGCCATGGAAGCACAGAATATGTGTTTTATGAGATTGTCACAACTAGCGTTGCATAAAGAGCCAAAGAACTGGAGTTTACTTTTATCAATGTAGCCAATCATGGTCCACAATCCTAAGTTTGCAATAGTGGATTCAGACGGAGATCTCTTATCTAGTCCCTGGACAGTGCGGGCAAAGTACCGCTGTGTGTTTTCTAGCAACCAAAGTTGCTGCCCTTTAATGTCAAACAATAGTTCACAGCCATAAAAACTTGTTTTCAGAATCATTCTTTGCCATATCTTAACACTGGTAGCTGGATGTAGGTCAGTGTTATTTAGCCCCAAGCATTTAAGGGAATTAACACTCTGTCTTGCTTTCTGACAGCACTTTTCGATTCTAGATTTACATGTTAAATCAGACGTTAGAAGTATGCCGCCGTAAGTAGTGGAATCTGCTGGTGCGATGTTTTCATTGCCAAGAGTGTAGTTTACAGTTTTAACTTTACGTTTACGTTTATTAAAAATGATTACTGTGCTTTTTGCAGGATTGTATGTTAAGCGCCATTTATTGGCATATGTATGTACAGTATCGAGAGCAGTTTGAAGTCCCTTTGGTGAAGTACTTACAAGTGTTGTGTCGTCAGCAAGCAATATAGTCGGAACATTCACACCATACACACTTAGGCCATTACTAGCCTGTCTTAGTGAAGAAATTAAATCATTGATAAACACTAGGAAGAACCAGGACGACATGACTCTGCCTTGGCCAACACCTTGCTTAATAGGATACCTGTCAGAGTTTTCACCCTTATATTTTACAAAAGCATAACTATTTGTATAGCTGTAGTGCAGTAGTTTCCAGATGTTTCCCTGGATACCTAGTTCATGTAACTTGTAAAATAGACCATCGTGCCATATTCTGTCAAATGCTTTTCGTTATCTAAAAGGCAGCATATACTGTAGAGTTTCTCTCAATGTAATATCTGATACTTTCAATAAGAGCAAAACGCTCATAACTGCGCCATGTTCCTTTCTAAATCCAAACTGGAGTATATCAGGGAAGTAAGGATTATTTTCAAGTAATTTAGTTTCTATTCGTTTAAGTAATAGCTTCTCAAAAAGTTTTCCAAGGCATGACGTTAGAGTAATTCCCCTATAGTTTCTGGGATCGGATTTTTCCTTTTTACCTTTATAGATTGGAATGACCATACCAAGTCTATAGTTAAAAGGCACATAGCGAAATTTAATTATTTTGTTAAACAGGTCACAGCCCATGGCCCACCAGCCCTCAGTTATGTGGTTCATTTAGCAAACATTATGGGACATGTCAAATTGCTGTGACTTTTTAGCCATGCACTACAAGTTACTTGTATGAGTTCACTCCCTTTTTAAAACTTTAAATCCACGTGAGGTCAACAACAGACAACAGAAACCATTTTTCAACTCATTAATAAAACAGTTAACCTCAAAAAGAATTTGAAAAATATGAATAAATAATAAACTATAAACGAACCAATCTCTAAGTTCACTGACAAGTCAACTGAACATTTCAATACTGACTGAACAGTTTTCTTAGTCTAGCTGGTACGAAGTCTGAGTTTTCAACCTGAAACTTTGAAAAACTAACGGACACTTCAACAATAAACAGTGATTATGATCAGTCTGTCAGTGACTAATACATTTATGTTAAAGCGTCCGAAAGCCAATAACACAAGGATACCTGTAATGTTGGTTCGAAAGTCTCACTCAGAAATTAACCATACCCCATAAACACACTGTTTATTTCGTGGGTAATGTACATCGTTGCTTGTTTGAATGATAGCTACTGGCAAAGATGGAACCACATACTTTTAAAGAACCAATCACGTGTACACAGCTTTTTCTCGAAAAATGTAAGACTTTCAGACTGATATCGGCGTTTTACAGCCAATAGGTCCCCCATGGCAACAAAAGTGGGAAACTGCAACATGCAACATGATTGGTTCACTTAACGAGAACTGACCTATCGCAACCAATTTTACTAGGCGCCTTAGTTTTTCTTATTACACCGACTTGCAGGTCTCGCAATATCATTCTAAACACGGGTTGAAAGTAATGAGCTGAGTTCAGAGTTCTCCAAACTCGTTTCAGCGAGAATAGGTGTAGTGTTGTTTTTCAAAGACGTACTTGAGTTTTGCTTGACTTGCCAAGCGAAAAGAAACACGTGATGCGTTTCAGATTACATTTATGGACGCGTCGACACGACCCGCCCGTACCCGTAGAGTGCGCCATGTTAAATGTTAGTGTGCGAATGGCGCAAGGGCGCGGCCTAGAATAAATGCGGCCACTGTTGGAGTGACATACTTCCGGTAATGTCGTTATTATCAAAGCCTTACATCAGTTAACAGCTTAATCTGTGTCACGGGTGGAATACAATCGTCATTGTTACGGGTGGATTACAATCGTCAGTGTTACGGGTGGCCTACAATCGTCAGTGTTACAGGGTGGGTTACAATCGTCAGCTTATTCCATAGTCCTTATCCTGTTTTAAAGAGACTTTGCAATGAGGACACGTGTATGGGCGTCGGCGATTACAAGACAAGAAACCAGTTTCGGGTGTCAAAATTTGTTTAGATACCATGCCAGCGTAAACACAGACCTAACTCGTGTAACTCACGTCGGTAGGAACAACTGTGACAGAAGGACAACATGTACTGAATCAAGAACTGTGGTTATCACCCGTGTTTAAAGGTAAGTGCTTCAAGTTTCATGTTATAAGGGTCGCGGGTGGTGTCGGCATCCTGCTAATCAGGTTGAGTGCTGACTGTACCTACAGAGGGAGGCTGACAACATACACCGTATTTCCACCTTTCATAAATATAGAGCCATGAGGCGAATGCAAATCAATTGATAATTTCACATTTGAATTAACATATACACATGTACAATAAACGATTTATTGATTAATGAAAAACATATGTTCAAACAAGACCGATGAGCAATGTCAGCGAGAGATTGTGTCATAGCTGTTTATACACTGATCATTTGGATTATTACTACAATAATGCCCGGCCAAGATATACGATCAAAGTATGATCTCGAAGCTCCGTATGATTTGATTGTTTGCTTGACGCCGCACTCAGCAACGTTCCAGATATATTGCGGCGATCTGTAACTAATCGAGTCTGGGCCAGACGATCCAGTGATAACCATGCTTATGGCGAGAGATAAAGATACACATTCTCTTACGTCTTCTCTGAATGGACAAAATAGTGTGATTTTTAAATTTTAACGTCACATCGTAGTCTGTATCACAGTCCCTAAAGAAACCCGTAAAACCGGCGAAAAACAACTCTCCGACGCACGCAGGCACGCACCCAATCCACATGGTCCTAATTATTGGTAACCGCCTCCGTGGTGTAATGGTTAGAGCGTCCGTCCGGAGAGCGGAAGGTCGCGGGTTCGATCCCCAACCGCGTCATACCAAAAGACGTTAAAATATGGTACTTGTTGGTCCCTGCCTGGCGCTCGGCATTAATGGGTACAACAAGGACTGGTCGGCTCGGAGTCAGTATAATGTGTCTGAGTTGGGTATTCATGCTTCACTGCGGCATGGTATCTCAGTGGGCTAGCACTATAAAACCAGCTTAAGTCTGGGCTAGTACAAGCAGCCGCACATACACATACACACGCATGCACGTCGTCATATGAGCGAAATATTCTCAAGCACGACGTTAAACCCAATTTCACCTCACCTCACCTAATTATTGGTTGAGGAGATTCTGCGGCAAATCCAGCGCTAACGTGGCGTTCGTCATTTACCAGAGCAATGATGGCGGTAGTCTTAGTAGTAGCATACTGCACTTATACAGATATAAGTATCTCGTCCAGGTTAATTTGTTCCCCGACAAGTAGATCGGCTTCTGTTTATCATTCTCAACTCCCTAGTCAGTATACAAGCGGAGCTGCCTAGTTGCGCTAGAATATTTTCTATGTATCAAGTTATCTTTACTCCGAGACAAGGAAAAGCTCATGATAGTGCTGATACCAATTCCGTCGGGAACATAAAGGGAGATTATTATTTACCATGTCTTGAGCTGATGATGTTGTAAAGATATATATGTTCCGCTCTAAACAACATCACGGTTAGCAACGATAGCGATATTACAGAATGCCAGGTATTGATCTGTGTTGTAAACAAGCTACCAGACCCGGAGGTTACAGACACGCTGTTACCGTCGAGGGTTGTAAATTGTTCCGCCTTGTCGAAAGGTTACCAAACGCACAGCACACAATGTATGTTGTAAACCCAATAAGTTTATTCAGTAACCAAACACGCTACACGAAATATGTGCCAGCCCTTATGGACAGCAAGTCACGCCATCAATCAATGTGTAACGCTAGAAAAAAAACCAGTGTATGTGATTACCTGACACGCTGCTCCGTGAGTTGGAGAAGGAACGAGTATTCCAGGTATGTGACGGCGTGTCAGATTAATGTAGGAGCAAAGGTCTCAGGCGTTTGCCGTTTTGGTGAAACCTACGAGTACCGGAGTTACTGCTGGCAAACCTTAAAGCATAATCGGGGCCTACCGGGATTCGAACTCACGATAGGTTGCTAAGGAACGCGACTGCACAGCCTTATGCGGCGCCTTAGACGTGCCGCCGTGTGTTGGATCAGTAACAAGGAGACGAGTATGGTCGGTTCACGTTATAATGGGCATATCGTCAGTGAGCCGAACTTTCCTTGTTTCGTCAACTAACAGGGTTCAAATCGAATATAAAGATGTTCAAATCAAATTTAAAGACGTTAGTATTGTGCATACTGGTGTTCGTATATTTTATTTTAATTGAAGAATACGTTCATATATGTCATGGGCAACCTATGGTGGAAGTAAGAGTCGATCGGATGATGGTCACATTCCTCGACTTTATGACTTTGTCATTAAGTCAATCACTGGATTTTCCGATTCAGATTTGCCTCTTTCGGAGGCTACCGTAATGTAGCTTGAATATTGCGGAATGAAATATTATCGGAGAGGGGCGGTGGGGTAGCCTAGTGGTTAAAGCGTTGGCTCGTCACGCCGAAGACCCGGGTTCGAATCCCCACATGGGTACAATGTGTGAAGCCAATTTCTGGTGTCCCCCGCCGTGATGTTGTTGGAATATTGCTAAAAGCGGCGTAAAACCAAACTCAGTCATTCAGTATTATCGGAGATTGACACACTAACCAGGCAGTCCCTCGGTGGTTGGTGCTGGGAGATAGTACTGTAAACGTCTACTGATCCGACTGGCCTGTTATATTTTGGGGCGGTGGGTATCCTAATGGTCAAAGAGTCCGCTCGTCAAGCTGAAGGCCTGGGTTCGATTCCATACATGGATACAATGTGTGAAGCCCATTTCTTGTGTCCCCCGCCGTAATATTAATTACTGGAATGTTGCTAAAAGCGCCGTAAAACTAAACTCACTCACTCACTCACTCCAGTTATATTTACCTGAACTTTCATTGTTACGTTGTTTGAATCATTATATCAGCAAGGTACGGCTATGGTGCGGACAAACCAAGCATCATAATCAGGTAACGATCTTGGATTCGAACTCATTATCATAGCATCTTAGCACGCCTAAGAGCTGCAACACAGTCTTTACCTATACCATCAACTTCATGGAAACTACCGTATGTTAACTTCATTGAGAGATATTGATTTTAACGTTGATTCAGTCGTAACACATTTCTATTTTATGTTGAGGAAAGACGAAAGTTACACCCCCATTCCACTGACCATCGGAACCTCACCTGAAGCCCATCTCATCCCAATTTGGCGAAAATTCAGCGTTCCGAAAAGTTCCGATGAAAATTCATACGACATCCTTTTTTTGGGGGGGTCCATTTTTTCCGTAAAATCCGACAGAGATCCAACACTGATCGGGTTGATCGGATGAAAGACTGGTAGCGGCCTGATGTCTGTCCGCCATAATCATCAGCGGCGTCCGACTGATCCGACTGCAGTCGGATTGTAATTCGAGGGTGACCTGACACTAATCTGACGCTTCCAACACTCTCCCGACACCAATCCGACAAATTGGTTACTATTTGAAGGGCTATCGGACACTGAACCAATCCTGGTCGGATTTGTAGCCCAAATCGGCAGTGGAGTATAAAAGCAGGCTGCACCTCCTGACGGTACTAGTCATGGATCTACTTCCTCGCAACGCTGCAGCCCTGGACTTTGTTTTTATACTGCAGCAACAAACTATGCAACAAGATGCAATGACCCTTGAGGTCCTGAGAAGGACAATATAGAACAAACTATATGGATAACAACTTCTTTTTATTCGTGAGTGCGACGTTTCGATACAGATTCTTGTACCGTTGTCAAGCAGTTCGATACAGATTCTTGTACCGTTGTCAAGCAGGAATGCTTGACAACGGTGGCTTGACAACGGTACAAGAATCTGTACCTAAACGTCGCACTCACGAATAAAAAGAAGTTTTAGAACACGCCCGACACGTCGGACACTGACCTGATAGTCGACAAACAAAAATCGGATTCCTCGGACTGTGAATCGATACTCTTCGGTGGGTTACCGGAGAAAACTTTCCGATGAGTGACCGATGAGTTCGAAATCTCTGTGGAATGGGGGTGTTAACGTTAACATTTCAAGTGTGTAAATAAGTGAGTGAGTTGGGTTTTACGCTTACGTTTAGCAATATTCCAGCAATATCACAGCGGTGGACACCAGAAATGGGCATCACATATTGTACCCGTTTGGGGATTCAACCCGGGCCTTCGGATTGACGAGCGAAAGCTTTAACCACTAGACTACCCCACCGCCCCATTTCAAGAAGGACATGTATTGTAAATGACAAATATGGGTATAGAACATAATATTTCTGAAGTACCTTGAGTCAGGAGACCCTCAAATAACTCTCCTGTCTTTCTCTCGATGTTTTTTTTCATCATTCGAGCACACTGCTCATCATCGATCGGGGCGGTAGCGTAGCCTCGTGTGTGGTTAAATCATTCGCTCGTCACGCCGAAGACCCAGTTTTGATTTACCACCTGGGTACGGTGTGTGAAGCCGAATTCTGGAGTCCCCCGACGTGATATTGCGAGGCTATTGCGAAACGCAGCTTAAGGCTAAACTCACTCACATCAACGATCCGAATGATGTATGTTGAACAGATTTGTAAAGCAATCAAATAGATAACTGTTGAGTCCATTTAGGCCTTTAGAAGTCGTTCAGCTTCCGGATCTGACACCGTTTTATGACATGGGCATAACAGTGAGCATCTGGTCTAACCTTATTTATACAGCAATTCTCTAGCTCTCGGGGTAACAGTGAGCATCTGGTCTAACCTTATTTATACAGCAATTCTCTAGCTCTCGGGGTAACAGTAAGTGCTTCTTAGAAGCTTTTCAAGCGTAACAACACTATATTCTGTTTGTGTTTGAAGTAAGAAATATGAATACGGAGCTCACCCATATATTGAGTGAGTTTATGTAAACACAGAGGAGGAATTTATTCTATTTTTCTCAGTTGTATCCAATCAAATATGCATTTACCGAACACCACCAAGCAGCGTATCCATTTCCCTAATGTGGCAATGTTTCACAAAAGAGACTATTCAAGTCTATATCACCACTGCAAACAAACTTTTCGTTTGGGGTATATTTCTGAACAAACTATTGTAAAAAGTCTCATGTACCCTGCTAAGTAAACATTAAAACATATTTAGAATGAAATGCG